GGGGGGTGGCCACGCCGCAATCTCTTCTCCTCCATTCTCCTTTCAGGATCTTGGGCACGCATGCACACACACCCAGCATGAGTTTAAACCACGGTCAGCTACATGGGAGTTCAGCTACATAGCCATTACGCTAACTGCTGGCCCCTTGAGGAATATGTTAACCCTAATAGTATTTGGATGTTTGGCTATAGTTCCCTTAGTTCCTTCTAGAAACACAGTGAATGTAGATTGAAGAGCAGAGAGATGAGATAAAAGAAAAAGAAAAGGAAACAGAGAAAAAAACAATAACAACCAAGAAACAGGAAAAGAAAAAAGAAGGAAAAAAATAAAACAACAACTAAAAAAATTAAAAAAAAAAAACATAGAAAACCATGTGGCACGCTTGTGAGTTTTCAGGAGCCATGAAGGTATCTTCTTCTGAAGGCATGCCCCTTGCCTCTCCTGGGTGGGATGGGGAGAGGGGATTATTAACAAGATAAAGGTAAAGGAGGGGCTGAAAGCCAAGAAAAAACTTTATCTTAAAACATTTTTTAAAGGAAAAATTACAAAAAAATGAGAGATGGAGACAGAGAGAGACAGAGATAGAGACAGAGACAGAGAAAAGGCTTGAGGGGCTTCCTACCACTCGAGTTTGTGGGCTGTAGGCTGAATTATCAGTAGAAAATCTTCATTTTTTTTTCCCCTGAAATCACTAGCTCTCAGGAGCCATGAAGTTGTCTTTTTCTGAAGGCCTACCCTTTGCCTCTCCTCCCTTTTTTTTTTTAAATTATGGGGGCTCAAGTATAAGATGTAGACTTTTTTGTTCGTTTTAAGCTTTACCCCCCAAAAAATTAATTAATTAAACTAAAACTCCTTTTGTAGGACCAGCAGTTGGCATAATGGCTATATTGCTGGACTCCCATGTAGTTGACCATGGTTCGAGTCCTGGACCCAGTGACTTAAAGTCACACCGGGCACAAGTGCATTTATGCCCAAGATCCCAAGAGGAGAATAGAAGAAAACAGATTGCGGTGTGGCCATCCTCCCTGGGGGGGTGATTTCTCATTTTCTGTCTCTCTGTCTCTCTCTGTCTTTCTGGCAAGCACACGTGTCCTATAACAAAAACCTCTCTAAAAAAACAAAAACAAAAACTCCTTTTGCATTCCATATACATTTACAGTAAAGCACCTGGACAGAAAGCAGAACAGTCAGCTGTGGCCCCACCCCAGGCCCCGATGTGTGGTCTCCATGGGCAGGGGCGAGTCTGCAGGACAATGCTTAAGGCCACCTCTCCTCTATCTCAGAGCTGTCCCCTGTCCTCCCACCCCAATCAACCCCCAAACACACATGGAATTAGATTTACAATTTTTCTTCTATCTTTATACACACCACAGTTATTTCATAAAATTTTGTCTTTTCACTTTTTTTTGAGTTGTGTTTTTTTTTTGTTTGTTTGTTTTTTTTGCTATAGGGCACGTGCGCTCTCCAGAAAGACAGAGAGATAGAAAGCAAGAAATCACCCCCTAGGGTGGATGGCTATGCCGCAATCCCTTCTCCTCCACTCTCCTCTCAGGATCTTGGGCATACATGCACACGTGCTCGGCGTGAGTTTAAGCCACTGGATCCGGGACTCGAACTGCGGTCGGCTGCGAGGGAGTTCAGCAACATAACCATTACGCTAACTGCTGGTCCCCCATGCTGTTTCTTTCTATGGTCACTCCAAAACTGCAGGGCTGACTACCTTAAGCAGTGCAGTACTTTTACTGCTCTTTGTCTTTGGGAGCACTTCTTAGCCCCTCTGGCCACCCAGTATCTGAACCTTTGTGTCTGAAATTTTACCACCTTGTGAATCTTGTTGGGAGGCAAAGACTTACTCCTGCTATATTAGTTTTCCATTACTGCTTCTATTTTCACAACGTAGTGGCTTAAAACAACATTCATTTATTATCTCACAGTTCTGTAGTCAGAAGTCCCGGATGCCGAGGTTGGGTTTTCTACCTAAGAGTCTCAGAGGCCCAAATCAAAAGTGTGAGCTGGCTCTTTCTCATCTGACATTTTTTACACCAATGTAACAAAAAGGTAGGAGAGGCTAGCCAGACAGTTTTTTTTTTTAAAGAATTGTTTTGTCTAATTTTTATTTATTTATTTTAATTTGACCAGAGAGGGACAGAATGAGAGAGAGAGGAAAAAAAGCGAAAAAGCAAGCTGCCAGGTCTGGGACTCAAACCATAGTCGGCCATGTGGGAGAGTGTCCAGCACCTTAACCACCATGCCATCTGCTGGCCTCCATATACTATATTTTATGTATATAAATGGAGGGAAGAGGAGAGGAAGACAGGGGCCCAGGAGAACTAAAACAAATGGTCTCTGTGGAAATGTTGAGAATTTCAACAGCAAAATGTGGTGGGAACGGGGCTGGCAAGTGGCATGGTGGTCGAGGGCGCTGGGCTCCCACATGGCCGACTATGGTTTGAGTCCCAGACCTGGCAGCTTGCGTTCTCATTTTCTCTCTCTCTCTCACTGTATCCTTCTCTGGTCAAATTAAAGTAAACAAACAAATGAATGAATAAAGTTCAATAAAATAATTATTTTAAAAAAATTGGTGGGAAGCAAGTCCCAGAGCCAAAAGGAGCTTATCGAGAGAGATGGCGCTGTGCAGTTTTTGGCAGGCGATGCAGTTGGGACCTTGTGGAGGGAGGGAATGAGGAAGAGGGAGCAGAAGACGAGTTTTCTAAGAAAGGATCTACCAAGTGCATGGCGCGTCCAGTTAGCACAAAACAGAAGTCTAACATTGCTGGTTTTTCTTCTTTTTTTTTTTTTTAAAGAATTCGTTTATTTTACTTTAAATAAAGTAATTTTAATTTGACCAGAGAGGAGAAGGGAGAGAGAGACAGAAAGCAAGCCACCAGATCTGGGGCTCAAACCACCATCAGCCATGTGGGAGTCCAGCAGCCTTAACCACTACACCACTTGCTGGCCCTGATGCTTTTTTCTTCAAAGCCTCCACCAGGTTGTTATTTTATTTATTTATTTATTTTTTTGAAGAGATTTTTGCTATAGGGCGCATGCGCTCGCCAGACAGAGACAGACAGAGAGACAGAAAG